GGAGGAGGAGGAGGAAGGGTTTGTAAATAATTGTCCTTTCCGCGGCACCCCTCGAAAACAAAAGGCGCATGGCGGGAGAAGTCATGGCAACGCAGGCGCAGAACAGTGGTGGAGCCGTAACAGGGCGCAGAGAAGGGTCTGAGAGTAGAAGTCACCCAGACTTGCTGGAGGCAAGAAAGCACGCAGCATAAGTGGTCGACCCAGTTGCCTTTGGCGTGAACCCGCAGCTGTCTCTGGTTAAACCGCCTCCAGTAGTTCGATTCCAAGCCAGATGAGAAACACAATGGTCAAAACCTAAGACTGACAACAACGCCCGAATGCAATGTTAAAGTTTGTCCGTCCTAATTGACTATGGTCAACTTGGCCATAGTAAGCGTGCTGCTTGGGTTCTGGCTGGAGGCCCTTGATAGATCGCGCTATGGGGAGTGTAGATGTTACTCAGTAGACTCACTGACCCGCAGCGTGTGTGCGTTGAAAGTGGGATTTGACTGGAAGCTCGATGTTATACATACTGGCAAGAACAGCAGTTGTGAGCGGATAGTCAAGATGGATTGAGATCCGAGACTGAGGGAGGCAAAGTCGTGACAGCTGACGCAATAAGGAGACTGGGAGCTTGTGCGGATCTCAGCTTCGAAACTGATACGGCAAATGTTCTATCCACTAGATCCTACACTAACACCGCAGACCCCGGGGACAGGCGATTCAGCGTGAGGTACTCGGAAATTTAAACTGGAGAAAAAACTATTGCAGCCGGATCGGAGGACCGTGATGGCCCATTGGCTGTGGACCTTCAACGGAACGTCAGGACACATCAATAAAAGAGAGTTTGAGTGGCTACGGTGAGGAGACCAAGTGCCGCATCTGGGCTAGATTGACCTCATACTCCCTCTCGTAGCAGCGGCAAGCCCGACACGAAATGCAGTCGGACACAATAAGTGACGTGAAGTAAAACCTCTGTCCAACGCCTGTCACATGCAAAACGGCAAACGCACAGGGGATGAGAGGAACTCACTTTCTTCTATTGGCGACGTCCTTCGGTCTGTAGAAGGTTCGACCCTCCTCCTTTGCATTGGGAGCCGACTTGTTTTTTCCACTTTGTTTGCCACTGGAGAGAAAATCTTCCAGCAGTTGTGCCTGCTCTTTGCCACCTTAAGAGAGAGATAGCAAAACAAATGTGAGCTGGGAGAGGATTAAAGACACACAGCGGGTAGACCGCGCTCGAGAGAAGCTAAAAGAGCACATTGACGTAGGGGACGGACCCTCCCTTGGTGCTTGGTGCACAGAGAACCAAGCGCCTGGAACTCTACCATCGCCCCAACTGATGGCATTGTCCTCGCACATATAACCCTCGCGAGGGCCCATTTGGTAGACGGCAAATCACAGCAGAATAGTCCACATCGACACATGAACACCCCACACGACAGTCAGGAGTAACGATGTCCACCGTGTGCTCCACAGTGGGGTGAGAGCAGGTACGGTGACTTAGTTTATAGTGGTAGTAGACTATCACCGCGCCTACTGCGCTCTCTCCCCACCCCCATCTGGGCCCAACATCATGGCCAAGTCAAGAAGACCGGAGGCGGGAGAGGGCGTAGGTGGCTGGCACGGTGAGACCCGCATCTGGGCGTAACACCATATCCTTCGGTCCACGACAAAGACTTCACCAGGACTCTTAACAACAATAACAATGAGGGGGGGCGCCAGGGACCCCAACTGGCACGGTCTGAGTCGGAAACTGGGCCCGCCACTGCACCACGAATGTTGGTATTTGTTATGGGTGTGCATTTCCGATAACGCCCGCCATAGTCCGATCCAGCCCCCATGTTGGTTCAGCGCATCTGCTCTATGCGCAATGCAGGCAACTCGCACGTACGTAGGAAGTGTTATCCATGTGAGATCGGAGCAATCAATCTCCATGGGCGATACCCCGGCGTGTGCAGCATGGGGTATGCAGGTGGGAGTTCGGTATATCGATTCACTGTGTGCCTGTCAGAGACCCAAGCCTTGCGCATGTCCCCTCCTGTCTTGTTAGCGACCTGCGCCATTTTGTGTGTGCACGTGAAGTCAAACTGCGATTATTTTTACCTTTTCTCGTCAACTGCAGGTACCTATTTGTTGACAGGCCTGCAATTGCTTCTCATCTGCATTGCCTGAAGGCCAAAGGAGACTTGGTTTTGCCGCTGGAGGACAAGACAAGGGGACTTTTTTCAACAGGATCTTTCTTGAAGTCTGTTAAAAACGAGGGTGACTTAAAGCCGTTCCAATGAAACAGTAGCGACATGCGTAAGCATTAAATAATATCAACCTCGCAATCTCCCACAAGCATCCTGTTTCAGGCCAAAGGGGCTGGTTCGTGATTCGAGTCCAGTGACCGGCCTGACACTGAGCCACCCCACATCCTGCCACAACTCGCTTGATTCTGCTTCCGAGACCGGATCGAACACACTTAAATTTGGATATCCTTGAAGGACACCCCGTCCGCTCTCCTTTGTGGCAGGGCGCTCAGCGCAGGTTCGCGGAGCCATAGGCAGTGGTTAATACATAATAACCACATCGTCTGCCCGGGTATTTCGTGTCGCTACCAAAGCGTTTACATCCGCCTGCCCACGCGTTATCGCGTATATTTTTCGGAGGTTTAACTGTGCGTACTGTATTCTTAACTCCCCTTAAGTACAATAGCTGGGAAGTCGCCGCAGTTAACCACTGGCCTGAGTGTGAACGTGTGTGCGGGTGTCCTGGTTTTGCGGTAAAGTGCAAAGACCAAACGTTACAACGGCCTGGAGGATTCATTAGTGTGGTCAGAAATCGCTCCACTCCCTCCCCCTGCCTCGGTAATGTATTCCATCGCGCCGTATTTCTTCCGCTATCTGCTCTGCAGACAGGCTCTCTGGCCCTGTCAACCATTCCTCGGCCACTACCCGCAGCAGATAATTGAGAGTGGTGTACTGTTGTCTGGGAGTGGGAAGAGAGGAAGTGTGGTCGACGTTTTCAGCGCATATTCCTCTCCATAAACAATCTGACGCGCCTGAACCAATCACGGTGCGCTAAGAGCTGTGGCCTGTAAGGCTGCCAACTTACGGGATAACTCGGACCTCGCACTGAGCTCAGTGCGTGTTTGCGTGGAGTGGCCGACTGGTGGACTGTCTCGACACCGGGTCCAGGTGCGGAGTGGGGAGGAGAGAGTGAGGTAGATGGCGTGCAAGTCTACCATCAACATAAACTAATTCACGCACTATCACTGGTGAGTCAGGCTGCAGTGGCTCCTTTTTAATGTGGCCTTTATAGCACTGCCACTCAGGATCCAAGTCGTCCTTGTTTCTCCAGTTGTGTAAAATCCTGGTGAGTTGTACGTGGAGGGACCAGAGATGGCGAGCCTAGGAGTGGGTCTTGCTGTGCCAGTCACTTACTCCCTTTGTCACCTCCGGTCTTCTTGACTTTATCATGACGTCAGGCCCAGGTGGGGGGGGGGGAGGGGGCGCAGTAGATGCTGCGCAAGTCTATTATCACTATAAATGAGTGCACGTGCAAGACGTCGTCCCAGCCCTCACTATCCTATGGATATCGTTTGGAAGGATGGCCGAACTGTCGCTTGATGAGGACACCAATCAGGGAAAAGTATGGGGGGACAAGTTAGTAGGTGTTTGGGGTTAGAACTGCCCGGCACCCACACGCCCTGGATGGGATCAAAGGAAATCACTACGGACACATGAATACATCCGTAAGATAATTGTCGACGAAGACCAGGGCGACTGGACTGGTCATGTCTGGCTTAACTGCCGTCCTTGTCAACAAGTCATCACCCGCCTTCAGACTGTAGAAACCTAAAGTTGGATTCCGAGTACCAGTTGGGAGACCTATTGTGGTCGAGAATGGCCAAAACAACCTGACAGTGATATTCGCTACCAACCCTTATTGCATGGTAGCATAAGGGCGCGCGTTTCAATCAACCTCGCAGTCGACGGGGGGCTAGATTAGTGGAATTCGGCGATCGCCTCTGCAGTCTCTATTTTTGGGGCCATTTTCTGGCCCAATCTGCAGGGCAGCGAAGCAACGCTCCGCAAATGAAGTAGCGCACATGTTCGCATGACAGACAAAAAGTCTTACGGGAAGGGGGCGCCTGGGTACTTTCGAAAGAAGAAGCTGTGCACCAGCGCAAGAGAAAGAAAGACCAACCAAAAATAGCCAGACGACGAACCGCCCCTGTCACTCTGGGCCTAAAGTCACGTAAAAGGACACTGATACTGTGCAGAGGGTTCCCACCGGACGGTTGTGCAATGCTTTGCGGAAAGCAGTGGGCATCATAACTACCACCTACAGCAGGCACAATCCACTGACGTGACTACATTTCGCGTGTCCGGACCGGGGTCTTCTTGGGGGAGGGATGGGTGGGGGGGGGGGAAGTAAAAAGTGCAACTATTCGCCAAGGTGGACGGAGGAGGGAAGAAGTCACTGGGCCTTGGATGTTCAGGGAGAGAATTGGTAAGATGTGGTTTGGTAGCCCCAGCTAACGGACACAATCCTGTTGGGGTTGGGGTTAGGGTTTAGGATAAGGGGTTATAGTTAGGGGTTAGCGCAACTATTTCTCAACCATTAAAAGTACAACCACGCACTCCCAATAGCTTTTCTTTTGCATACAACTACTTGACCTGTGCGTTCGCTGGCTCCACTTCTAAAAACTCCTATTACCACCGGTCGCATATTAGAGGTGATTGGGGCTTGTTGACTTCAGATGGGACTACCAAAATCACATCCGACCAGAGAATTTCGGTGAATCATCCATGACAAGGTGGTCCAAAAGGCGTCATAGGGTCTCCCACCAAATGCTCAGCCTGCAGCCAGCATGGTGGTCGAAAATTTATTTTAAAAAATAATACTTGACGCAGGCGATGCTCGAAAAGCTCCGGGAAACTGGAAACCTAACAGAAGAACGCCTATCGCAGTCCGAGAACTGACGCACCAAGGCATGTCTATTGTGTGAAACTTTGGCCCGCAGACAGTGTATTTTCGATCCAAAAAGGAAAGGGACAGGGACATGGGTTTTCTGGCCACCCAATACGCAGGCGTGAATGACTGATCCAGCTTCAGTCTTTCCCACTTCTAATCTCTTCCCCCTGCCACCTCCTCGAGGGGCGGCGTCGGTTTGAATAAACAATGACCTGGGAAATTCGGGCGAGTCAGCCGAAGACCACTGCGTTCGCAACGTCTACTTTGCCTAACTTGCCTGTGAGCGCTCGTTGTCACTTGGACAGGAGCTCATCAGTCACCCTCATGACGTGGTCGCTCCACCCAAGTTTTATCTGATTCAGTTCAGCAGAACCGGTCCTGCCACTTCGCTTTTGGCATCCTTTAAAGACAGCTTAGGCGGAAGTGGTCCAATTTTTTGGCCAGGTTTGCTGCATTACCTGGGCCTCCGTCCCCATTGAGGAACTCTGGCAGGATAACAATCCGGCATATAGTCAATTCCGCGCTGAAGATGCCAGAGCGACTCCACTGCGTACCGATGGCGCCTACAGGGGAAGAAAAGGCCCAGTCGCCGCTGCCGCATGTCCGCTTCAGCTGTGATGTTCTGCGCGGTCGTCGGCGAAGAAAAGGTCTTTGTGACGGCCTGCACACGAGGATTGCAAAATAGTTTCCCGTTGGTTCGACTGTTGGTAGTGGCGATACCTGGTTGATCCTTACTCGGGGTGCCCCACCATAGGTGCGGAGAGCATGAAACCATTTGGCACACCTAGGCAAAGTGTTGGAAAGACCCATCACGAAGGCTGATCCTCGTTTCCCGTAATTGCATGAATGCAAAGAGGAGACGGTTTTTTCCGGAATTAACATCGACTCTTGAAGAAGATCTACTTGCGAATGAAAATTCAGGCTGGTGAGTAGACCTCGGATGCAGATTAGCTCGGCAATACTTGGAATGGAAAGTCCGTGGTGACTGCCACCATTATGTTTGCATTTAAAAGCCTGTCTATGCGTTGAAGATAACCAGACTTGTGGATTTCGGTAGGAATTGAGCTCCTTGCCACAGCTTTCGCGCTGCAGAGAGGGTGGGCGACGGAAGTCAGTGTTGGACACCAACTGTGGAAGGGCGCTTATGCCTCCCCCCGCCGGCAGCCTGGAGATGAGCGGTTGAAAAAGCATTTCAGGTGGTCAGGCCAACACTCCAGGACCGGTGAATTCCCCGTCAGTCAGTTCCGTAGACTGTCAGGACGATATTGGATTTCGTCTGTTTTCTGAGATAGGCAGCTGTTTTGTATTGTCTTCAACTTCCATTACGGTGGACGGCGACAGTAAAGAAATGCGACCTCGGTAAATTCCGTGAGGAAGGTTCTTCTCGCAGATCAGTCGTCACACTTTTTCACCGTCGTTATCAAAGCAGCCTTAACGACTTCAGCGTGTTGCACTAATGGATTCAGCAACAATGATGTGGGTGCTATCATACAGTTTCTTTTAGCCATCCCCGACATCACCCTCTAGGGTCTGCAAATGATCCAGATCGATGTACACTTTGTTGCAAACTTACCGTCCACGTTTAATCAAACCCAGAGCCCCCGTGTTACTTTTTTCCAATAACAAGCGCTAAGCAAGACGAAATTGTGGGAGGTACAGAAATTGGATTGACAGATATGGCGGGAACGTGGCCAAGACAGAAGTAAAACAGTTGCTTCCCTAAAATGGACCGGCTAAATTACAGCCAGAACGAAGGACAAACTAAACCGTGATAAATTCGGGAGAGGACATAGGCGGTTCACCGATGGCTCTGGTAACATTCTTAACGGTATCAAGACGACTATTGCAATTCAAATAAACACACATGCAGATGTGCTATATTCAGCTAATTTAACTTTATTACTGAAAGCATATAGTAGGTCGTATATGTTTGGAAATGTCCACATACCTGGCTTCCTCTTCACAGCTTTCAATGCGTCCATATGTTTCTTCTTCTCAAGACGGCGTGCTTCAAGCACTTCTTTCTGGGTCTGTTTGCCAAATTTGCGGGCCTGACGCAGCTGACGTGCCTTCTCCCGCAGTTCCAACCGTTTTTTGCTCATGACAATGTGTTCGCGCACCTGTAAAAATGGCCAACAAATTCAGCGCAAAAGGGAAACAATTCAATAAGCAGTTTATCGCATCAGACAAACGTCATCCTAAGAAAATCGCTTTTCCCACCCAGGCATGTGAAAGTCTGCGAAGGGCCGTCACCTTGATTCATTTCATTTTGACCCAACTTCGGAAAACTGGGTGACCTCGGTGAGGTTCGAACCCACGACAGCAAGGGGAGGACTTTATACAATCAAGGCTCGTGCCACCTGAACTAGGAAGCCCCACTGGATGACGTGAGTTTAATCACATTTGGATCATGTTACCCGCCCAGCCTAATATAACGTCTGGAGTCCACAAAATCTGACACAGAAAGCTGACTGCCCAAGCAGGATTTCTAAAGTAATCCACCTAGAACCCACCAGATACCTGCCAGGCTCACGTAATGAAAAGTTTCTGGCAGATTTTGAATAGTTCATTTTGACCCAAATGTGAAAAACTCGGTGCCTCGGTGGGATTCGAACCCACGATATCAAGGGAAAGGCCTTAGTACAGCCCACGCCCTAGTCACCTGAGCTACGAGGCCCCACCGGGAGTTGTGAGTTTAATCACATTTGTGTCAAGTTATCTACGGCTGTACTACTGCCTAATCCTCGCTGTCGTGTGCTCGAATCGTACCGACACTGCAGTTTTTAAGGTTGTGTCAAAATGAACTATTCGAAATCTGCAACAACACCTATAGATATAATGCATTTGCAAACTGTTTACTAAGTCCAAAATAGGGAGGTTTGCACTGCTATCAAGTCCCATTAACGCTGAAATAAGGGTTGTGAAAAGAGGTCAGAATGAAAAGCGGCACGACAAACGGATTTTCGTTACCAATCACAAGGATAGTACTAAAATTACTAATAATGATGATTTGCTTATTCACAATTAAGACATCGAGAAAATTGTTGCTGCGCTTGGGAGTCGATTAGTCGCAACTTTAAAAGAAAATGACTATCAAGGCGCAGTCCCAACCGACTCCCCACAGACTGAAAACATACATACGAAAACTCGGGTATTTCAGTATTTAGTCGGGAGTTCAAACAGGCTGTGACAGGCCGTTTGTCCCTCGTTCTGCAGATGCTTTCTAGTAGACAGGTAAACTGGCCCCAATTATAGAGCACCTATAGGAGGAAAATGCTGGTGTGAGCAGCCCTAAAAGCAATGCATTAGTTGAACTCCCAAGTCTGCTTTTTACAAACTGCATAAATGAGTAAAAAATGTCCCCCTTTACCTTAACCATGTGATCGTCGGACTTGATCATTTCAGCAAAGTAATCTGCTGGTCGCCGAGTAGGAACATTAAGCTCGTGGAGGCGAGGAATGGCTTCCAAAACGGCTGCTTGAGCCTGACGATAGCTGCAGAAAAAAAAACATCGATATGAGTAACATATAAATCAAAGTGGTCGTTGTGGGCAAATTAGCGGGTTTACAATCACAAGGACAAGTTCTGCAAGGTACTGAAAACAGGAGACACCAGAAGAGCGTTGAAAAACAGTCCTAGTTAACAGTGCGCGTGGATACCAAGTCAGCTAGAAACAGAGTGCAAGTATGTGCAAAGTGGTGTAAACTATCCAGATCAACTGGCTGACACCTGTGATGGCCTAGCCCTACTAGTGCAGGAGCAATGTCGTCCCGTGAGACTGAAAAAATACAGGGGTCAACATGGCGAAATTCAAATTCCCAGGCCATCGGCAAGAGTCAAACGACGGCTTTGAAATTATAATCAAATGAACGAACTAACGAGACGGAATGAGGAAATCTGCCAAAGTGGATCATCCAGCTGCTGACCTCGAAAAGGTCCGATCCGAAACCTGTCATGCCTTCGACCCCTCACCCTTGCTATTGATACTCTATTACGCATTTGTCAGGCACTCCTATCAAATTTTCATTGAAACCAAACAAAATGGCAACAAATGCTTCGCAGCAAAACCGAAGAACTTAAAGTGACCGTGGGTGTAAGAAGCACTAGGCCAGCCAAAATAGCGCTCCACAAACGCGCTTTCATAATTACACCGTATGCGATACCATTCCTCAGAAGCATATTCTCACAACTAACTGGGGTCCGAGGGCAATATTTTCTTTGCCATAGACGTGGCTGGCTTTGAGACTTCAATTAGTGGTTAATTTCTCCTATGCGAAATTAGGCCATCTGCTAAAGGAACTAATAATATCCTTCGTCACAGTTGCTCTGGCCGCACATCAAACTTGTTTAGGTCAGATGTCTCCGAAATTGTGTTCTTTCTGATGTCCTTCCCGTCACAGTGGCAGAAATGGAGCACGAAGTGGATGAACGTGAAGGCAGATTGGCACAGACAAAACAACGTGAACCACATAAGATTGCATTCCGTGTTTCACTCTGCTTAACTGCGCCGTTGACTGGATTCTCAAATTGAATTCACTGCTTGCAGTCTTCTCACTCCTTGAATCCATTAATCAAAACCCCACTGCCAGCAAGACCAAAGTGCGCCCTCGTGTACGGTTGTAAATGTTGAACTGTGTGTGTGTGTGGGTGGGTGGCAGGCAAAGACGAGAGGTGAATAACTGTCGTTGTTTGAAAGCTATCCCTCGAGTAAAGTACACTGACTTCTTCTCAAGAGTCCAAGCTCGTTGCTAAAATATCGCAAGGCTACCTCGGGCCATCGATTTAGGACGACTGAGGTGGCTCAGTGGCGTTCTTCGCTGTCTGCCCCATTAGTTCGATGATGCTATCCACAATTAAACATCGCGGTTCATCTGAAGGCGTCGAAGAGGTCAACTCAAGACCTAGCTCAGCACAGTCCGTAAAGGCATGAAAGTGGCTTTCGGAACTTCGGTCTCCGCCATTGAATCGAGTTTGCTAGGTCTGCAGTCGCCGCCCGTCAAGCATGAAGAGGCACAATTGGCGACGTAAGAGGTCGGCTAGATCAAACATGATCCCGGATGCATCGAGCAAAAGTACATGACGAAACGAATTATAGAAGGGAGAACTACACTACCTGATGGCAGCGCCGAGCTCTGCGAACATTAAATGAGACTGAAGCAGAGCGGCAGTATTATTCTACAAGGTTATGAACTGGGAAGCAGAATAAATATTCGTGCATGAAAGCAAGGTCAAGGAAGAGTGTGATTCTTAAATAACAACTGAATGGGTTGGAGTGTGTTCCGAATGATTCGACATAAGGTTGAAAAGGCCAATAAGTAAAAATATGCCAACGTTGCCGAAATCCCGGACTTTAACTCAGGGACAGCTGTATAGCGCATAAAACTGACGGCCTTCCAACTTACAAGAATGCCTCCCTCTTGAAATCATCATTGGGATCAATCTTATCGACATCGTTATCGAGGTCAGTGCCCTTCGGCGGTGGGGCCGGCCCGTTGACAATATCAAGCCTCTCAAGCCAAGGAAGACGATTCCGTAGGCGCTCCAACGCACTGACAAGCATCGGCTGCAAAAAGGAGAGGATGAGGTAGTTAACCCATTTCAGTGGAAGTGTGTTGTTGTATACTTACTTAATGTGTCCATTATATACATCACAAATGCTATTGTGTAGATAAATGGGCATAGTCTACAATCTCGCATAAAAACCTGGACCGCAAGGATTTTAAAACTCGCCTAAAATTTCGATTGTCCACCTAATTTCTTAGCAAGAACTTTTGAGTGCATAAGACGGATTTTCGATCAAACGTTAACAGCCCATCGCAATCAAGGAGTCCGCTCTAAGCTGTTAGCAGCGGCTGAACGAACTTGACTTCGGAAAACATGAAAGATAAGATATGGAATTTGCAAATGCGGGTTAAAACCTTGAGCTTGTCACGTTAGCTTTGAGATGGATGACTTGAAAGCTTGAAACAAACGGATATGTCCACGAGTAAATGATTTTGCTGCTAAAGAAGGTCCACCAAGATGTAGTTACGAATAATCCATAGAAAAACTTCTTTTATAGTGAAGGGGCAGCCTAAAATTTGTAAAGAATCCCATAATAAAGCGTGTGACGCATAACGAGACCCACGCCTAATTGTGTATGCGGCTGGCGTAAAAGACTGTGATACATATGTATCACATATGTATATATATTTGGTTTGCTAAATCGCTCGAGGCCGTGCGCAGTGCAAAACAACGGTTAAACTTACATGACAACACATTCGGCTGTCAATATTGGAGGACAACACAAATATGTATGAAAAAAGCATACAGAAAGGCGGTGCAGAATTCTGCTGATTGCAAGCTCCGAAACGAAATGCGCAAAGGGAATGTACCTTGTTGTTGATATAACTCTTTGGGATTTCAACCTCCCGATAAAGTCCTGGAGCTGATGCCAGCTCTTGAAGATCCTAACAACGAAGGAACTTTAGAAAATATTCACGGAACTTACCACATCTGATTCACTGTCTGACATAATTAACACGCGGCGAGGTAGACCACCACAAACCAATAACTCGCAGATGGATTAAATGACAGCCAGATAACTACATCGGGAAAATTTAGTGGTGTAGAAAAACAAAACTTTCCAATTATACAGTGTTAGATCTTCCACTGAATGTAAGTGAATACATAATCGCAAAACACTTGAGAATGGGAGATGCAGACATTCAGACCGATGGCCGTAACCATGGGTGTGGGGATTGTGGCAGTTAGTGCGGATAGCGAATAAAAATAGTTTTATAGGATCCTAAAATCTTCTGTCGAATAATGTGAGGGAGTAATGAGCCTATGGATTTGACCCCGACTCATGGATTTCATACCGGTATTTGGAATAATTTCTGAGATTCCCGTGGTTAAAGGGGCTATCAGTTGAAGTCAAATAATGATTCGTGCTACAATTATTGATAGCATTAAGAGCTTTCTTTGGCTCAAAGAAAACATTTTCATGACGCAAAACTTACCAGGAAGGGCTTTAAAAGTAAGACGCTTGATGGAAGAAATGTGGTGCGCGACGCCTACAAAGGCCTCAAGAATGCCTTCAGTAGCTTACAACACCAACATCTCCTATACAAGCTCAGCCGCATAGGTTTAAGTGAAAGCTTTTGAAGTGCATCGAAGATGTCTTGGTTGGTCTATCTCAGATTGTCCGTCTTGGTGGCCAGTAGTCGGTGAAGTTGGCAACTGAGAGCGGAATTCCTCGTTGTTCCGTTCTTGGCCCTATCTTCTTCCTTTTATATGATGACTGCATCCGCGGGTTGGAGTGCGACACCGTCATGTTTGCTGACGACACTTAGCTTGCTGACGTTATCGGGGAAAAGGACAATGAAGCGAATCTATAGGCAAACTTGAGCCGATTCGAACAACAGTCAGCCCAATAACTGCTTTCGCTGATTGTAACTAAATGCAACATTCTGCGAATAGGCAGAAACAGATATGCACACCGGAGGAGGTACTACACTGAGAATATGATATAATTCAGAACGTAACTGAAGAATGAAAACGAGGGAGCTGAATGTCCGGATAGGGATAGTCAAGTAGTGAGTTACGGTGAACCCACTGTATACCTCAACGGCGAGAACTCAGTTCAGGTCAGTTGAATTTTATTAAAGAATATGAGACTGTTTGCACTAATACATATGACAAGTAAGTAATTGGTTGAAGTATGTGAAAATGCTAACTTAAGTCGTACTTGGTGGTCGCGAGTAATATGAAAGTACGTAAATTTAGAAATGAAGCAGTGACATGATACATGCGTGTCGAGTTTGGCCCTGAATGAAGCCACGCATGGGAGTGAACAACCGCAGCAAGGAAAACGTTCCACGTTGCAACCACCCTGGTTCTGTAGAAATATTTGGAGAAATCTGTATGTGTTTTTACTGAGCATAGTTTGATGGAATGACAGCATAACAAAGGTGTGTTATGAAGAAGAAGAAGAAGAAGAAGAAGAAGAAGAAGAAGAAGAAGAAGAAGAAGAAGAAGAAGAAGAAGAAGAAGAAGAAGAAGACAAGATCGCCGGGACGAGAGCTTTATTAGCCTGACGTTTCGGATTCCTGCTCGAATCCATCATCAAAGGCAAAAAATCAGAAACCGGTGGTTGCTGCACAAGGGGCTGCGGTATTTATAGGTTACAGTAGCCATGTTACGGCATACCTATGAATATTCACGGCTCCCTATTTCATCAGAGATCGCCGCACGTGGCGTAATGTCCGACATTCGCGTCGTTAATTGCTGAAATTTCATCGCGTGCCTTGGATGTTGGTGTGATAATTGCTCGACCATCTGACGCGCTGACCCGGGTGTTGGGAAGATTGTTCACCTGTGCGCTCCCCGCAGGGCCAACTACTCCGCCAGGGCGAAGTCTCAGCACGGAGTATTGGGTGGGAAGATCATTGCACATGATAATAGACTGGGGATCAGTAAACCATGATTCCAGTAGCTCTCGGCTCACTCGATTGTCACCTCTTGTGAGAATTTCGGCCTCGTCGAATTTGAATGTGTGGCCCGATCTCGTCGAATGAGCCGTTACTTGACAGATGGCGTCATTTCTCCGCGCCGCTGCAACGTGTTCGGCCATTCGCGTATGCAGTTATCTTCCGGTTTCTCCGACGTAGTTGCTTTGTCCGCAACTGCACCAGATCCGATAAACGACTCCAGACGTTTCTAGCCTTGACAGTGGGTCTTTCGGTTTCATGATCAGACGCCTGATGGTTGCCTCCGGTCTGTGTGCCACTCCGACCCCAAGTGGTGCGAGAAGGCGGCCGACAGCTTCCGAAACGTTCTTGACATACGGAAGTGCCCGCCAAGACTTGGTGTCCGTGCGGTTAGGCATTTCGTCCCTTTTGCGTATGCACCGGTCGACGAAGTTGCGCGGGTAGCCATTGGCTTTGAAGACCCGTCGGAGGTATTGTAGTTCAGCAATTTTGTCTTCCGGCTCACTGCAGTGCGTTTCGACACGCCGATAGAGCGTCCTTACACAACTGCGTTTGTGGCTGATTGGGTGGTTGCTGTTGAAGTTCAGTACTTGCATCGTATCTGTCGCTTTCCTGAACACTTTGGTCTTTAGTCCACCACAATACTTGCGGCATACGAGTACATCCAGGAAGACCAGCTGGTTGTTCACTTCCTCCTCCATCGTAAATTGTATGTACGGGAAGACCGCATTCAGACGTTCCTTGAATGTCAGCAGTTGATCTCGGTCGATAACGACGAAGGTACCACCCACAATAGTGTTGGTCTTCCAACACCACAAACCGAAGTTCTGGGCCCGGTATGTGGATGATACCTTCGTCGTGATCGAACGGGATCAGGTGCTGACATTCCAGGAACATCTCGACGCTGTCTACCCAGACATTCAATTCACGATGGAGGAGGAAGAGAACAACGAACTGGCCTTCCTGGGTGTCCTCGTATGCCGTATGTTCCTAACACCAAGGTCGGTCGATCAATCATTACACCAACATCTGAAATCCGTGATGAAATTGCAGCAATTAACGACCATTATATAGTCAGCAGAGCAAGTGCAACGATCCCTGTTAAAGGGGGGAGTCGTGAATGTTCATAGGTATGCGGCAGTCTGGCTACTGCATCCTATAAATACTGCAGCCGCATATGCATGAACCACGCTTATCTGCTATTGTCTCCGATGATGGATTCGAGCAGGAATCCGAAACATCAGGCTAATAAAACTCATGTCCCAACGATCGCGTCTGCGTCTTCAAGACTGCTTCCCAGGACTCGTCTCTTCGCTTCTATTGGCAAGGGTGTGTTAGCCTGAATGAAAAAATCGCCAGGAATGATCCAACAGCTCAGTCCATGCCTAATGCGGAGTGTTTGTATGAGGTTCCCTCGAACTTGCCTGTGAGAAAGTGAGGAGAGTTTGAGGATCAGCCGCCGGTTTTCGTCGGGTAGTGATCCCAAACCTTTGATCATTCTTGTTGCTCATCTCGGGACCCTCTCTATGGCGTGCAGTCCATGGCGATCCAAGGTCACTATGCCCGTAAAGCGTACTCTGTATGAGGCCACACGAATTTTTCAAGTACCTTGGATAATCAGCCTTAGTCAAAAACCGTAAATGTACGCCTGATGATGTACAATGTGCACATGGTCGACTTGACCGCCTTCGTGCAGTGCGGTGTTGGTTTGAGTAAAGATGCAATTCAGACGCCCAAGTCCTTTTGACTGTCAATTGGTTGCAGTGATTGATTATCTAGGAAATAAGTCCTTGGGCTGGAGACCCTACAGTTACCGATTTGAAAAGAGTTTCACTTGCTTACATTGAGGGGTACAGGCCAACGCTTCAACCAATCCCCAAGCCGATTCATGTTCGTTTGCGAGTGGTCTTCGTCTGCCATACAGGGAACAGCTTTCCACAATTTGATGCCGTCAGCGAAGAGGGTGACATCGCAGTCTAGCCCCCTGACGCAGTCATTGATAAAGATGGGGAATAATGCGGGACCTGGAACGGAGTCCTGTGGGAATCCGCTCATCACGGTTACCTCTGAGGAATGCTGATGTCCGGCTTGCACACTTTGGGTACGTCTAGTCAAAGAGTTCGGAATCTATATGAGGAGGCTGCCACGAACCCCTACGCTGTGCAGTTCTGTGCAGGGGGTGTTGACATGGAACGCCGTCGAAGGCCTTTTTGAGGTTGATGTGGACGGCATACCTTCATCACATGCTTTGTTCCAGCGTTCAAGTGACAACATAAGATTTGTAAGCCAGGGTCTACCATTGCGAAAGCCGTGTTTGACATCAGAGAGGGAATTCTGCTCAAGAAAATGCATTGAAGCTGTCTTGATTCTTTTCTTCATGGGAAAGCACACCAACTTGCCCACTCTTCCTGTAGATAATTGAAAAGAGCGGCTTCAGAATCAGCTTAAACTTGAGCATTGATTTTATTCCATGTAGCTCTGAGGACATGGGAGTTCCTACTGTTGGAAATATTGTGTAAATGGCATGCACCATGATGCCTTCATCACGTGCTTTGATACAGAAATAAGAGGAAAACAGAAGATTTGTAAGACAGGACCTACTACTGCGAAAACCGTGTTCGGTGTCAGAGGAGGTGATTCTGATCAAGAAATTACACCAAGGTCTGCTTAATTATTTCCTCCATGACTTTGTGGCAGATGGAGGTGAGACTCACCGGTCCGTAGTTATCCGTCGATTCTCGACTTCCCACTTAAATAACGGAGGGTTGATTGCGGACTTCCAATCGGAAGCAAATAGGCCCGAGAGAGCAAGGCTAACGGCCTGGCCATCTCTTACGTGAGCTCCTCCAGCAGCCTGGCTGGAATTTCATCTGGACTTGACGAAGTTGATTTTTTCCGAATTTAACAAACCCACCCGAATGATAGCTTCCGTAAAAGAGACTGCCTCGACGGCAGGCACGTCATCATTAGATGAGGGAGGGGTGAGAAAGCTGGGTTGCTTGGAAATGACGGACTGGAAGACCTCAGAGAGATTTTCGGCCTT